GTCGGGATTCGAAGACATACGTCGAGAACGGTGACAGCAAGGTCTTGAACCCTGAACACTAGTATAGTGATACGTTAAGTGTCTGGCCGAAGCACTTCACCTGGGTGGCTTAAATGCGGCCCACCTGCCGCCATCTCCATTCCTGGAGTCTTGGTGTCGTACGCTAGGTTGTGATAGCGTACCAGAAAGTGAGTTCGTACCGTTAACGAGTATGGTTCGTAATAATAATAATAATAATAATAATAGTACGCCGGCCGGGGCCTGGCGTGTGTTAAGGGGGTGGGGAACTGAGGGGCGGCGTAGCCGCTCCTGTATGCCCACACCACCGTGGGAAACCGTTCGGGTTGTACCGGTTACTTGACTGTACCCTCCAGTACTCGCCGCGCCCGGATAATCGTGCCCGCTGCTTCGATTGTTTGCCGGTGGAGGTGCAGGCAGGTCTTCTGGGCCTGCTCAGCGGACGAGCTGAGTCTGCACAGTAGCGGTTTTAGTGTGTTGGTTAGTGTCCCAGTACTTCCCAGGGTGACAATTTGCGCCTCGGTGTAGTGCACCGTCCAGCCTGCTTTCGTGAGTTCCTCTGTTAGCCGTGCATGCTGTGCGGTTTTCTGTTCGAGTTTGTCGGAGTGCTGCAGGTCACTGGTGTAGCCCACTTCAACAATGTATACATCGTGCTTGGATTTACACTCCGGCCCCTGGTACCGTTTGTGCTTGGTTCTGTGCGCGGGGAGGTCGGGGATGAACATGATGTCTGGGCGGAGGCGACGGATTTCCTCGTCCGCTAAGTGTGGCAGCATCCATTTGGGGACGCGCGTCCCACTGCAGTACGGTGGGAGATCCTCTTCTTTACCGGCGTCCATAATCATGAAGCCACCACCGTGGTGGCCCCCGTTGACGCAGTCGGCAATAGTGCGCGTCGCTTGGTTATGCCGGTTGATGTACATGCCCTTCATGGTTGGGTGGGGGCACCCGCCGAGTATGTGGGCTCCTGAGTCGGGTGTGGGGCCGGTCGGGCCACAGCTGCGGCAGATGGGGCAGTTGCCGTCTCCGCCTCGTCCGTAAAGTTTCTTTAGCTTAGCATTGAATAGCAGCCCGTATCGAGCTTTCAGTACTTGCAGTTTGAGCCAGTGTGGCATCTTTGCATTACTAAGGAAGGAATTTGTAGCTTAGATGCGGCAGGAGCAAAGCGAGTATAGCCTCTAAGCTAGGTTATGTACGGCAGCCGTATGGCTTGCTGAGAATTCGAATTTACTATTTCAGCTGACAGCTCCATAGTTCCGGCATTCTGCCTACACTATTGGAGCTTATTATTATTGTTGCTCTCACTTTTATCCAAGACCTTACCGACTACCCTCAAGCCTCATCGACGCTCTACCACAACGAATCGACATCGCCGCGGACCTGTCACTCTCCGAGGAACAACCAGGAGCTCCGTCACAAAAATCAAAAAATGACGGGTAAGAGGACAAAGGCAACGGGAGATAACCTGGTCAACGCAGGAGCGGCCGAAGCAGCCGGCGAAGGGGGATCGGGCCAGATGCTGCCAGCCAACCAAAACGACATAGAAGCCGCCAGGGATACTTTGAGCGGGAACATAGACCAGCCGACTCTTCACCAGCTGCTGCTGGGCGTCCTGTCAGCAGCGCAGGCCAACGCGCCAAAAGCGCCAGCCAGGGATCCCCGGACAGCACCGCCTCGGGATCGCTCTCCTGACGTTGTCATCACAAAAGACGTGACCATCATGCCATCCGCAAGAGAACAGCTAGCAGCAATAAGGACGGAAGTTCAAGCAAATGACGCACCGAAGCTGACAGCACCACACGAGCAGCGGGAGCAGCTCGACGAAGGAACGCTAATGCTGCTAGAGACCGCCATCACCGCGCTGGATGCGAACGAACCCCAGCTGGCCGTCG